CCACAGCAAACCCGAAAGAGCATGCATCATCCACAGCAGTTCTTGGGAAATGTACCTTTTTTTAAGAACAGGTCTTTGAACTGAGCCTCCTTCAGTGTGCTGTTGTTCGGGTGGTCACTGGACATAATCAGGTCCTCTGCAAGTGGGAGTTCAACTGTGACGCAGCCCCCCACGTTCAAAGCATCCCTCCGGCTGCCGGCAGTCTCCTCTCCAGGCAGCTCCGAGCTGCAGTTATAGCTGGTGTGGGGTGTGGGAGAGTGTGTGAGCGTGGAGGGGGGGGTGCTTCTGTCTGCCTCGTTCACTCTCTCTCTACTGTATCAGCAGGGCCCACCCCAGGTGCTAGACTCGAATGCTGTGGCTCCGACCGCAGACTGTGGCTACCAATTATCAACTGCCATCACCAGAAACCAGCAGCTCTGCGGCAGGAAGCCGGCGTGTCACCGAGCAGAGGAAGTCCAGGGTCTCCGATCCTGAGACCGGCTGTACACCTAGGGCAGTGCTGTTTACGGCAGCGTCTATCGGTGAGCAGTCCGCACGTCCCGGGTTTGGCCTGACACCTGGACGTGTCACACACACAGGCAAGCAGGACGCAGCTAGACGGCTCATCTTGTCTCACTGTGCTCGATAATCTTTTCAACAGGCAAATGTCAAACCAGTCCAGACAGAAAGGAGGAAATCGGCAAGTCTCACACAATACTCCTTCCCTCGATCTCTGCGGGAAGCTTTCGGCGCAGAAGGGCTGGAGAGAGCGCTGACCAAGGCAGGAGCCGCGACAGGCAGGACACCGCGTTAGGCTCGCGTGCTTCTCCCCTGCAGCTCCGCTCCCAGAGTGTGCTCGCCCGGCTGGGAGCACCCACAGCGCCCCTCAGGCTGCGAGCCAGGCTGGGGCTGTCCTCTCCTGGTGCTCCCTCTCCACATCCTCTAACTGATGGGAGCAGCTCCCAGCGGCTCTTGCCGCCGAGCTCTGTACTGGCAAGGGGTGAGGTCCTAACCACGGCAGGAAACAGTGCGTGCTCCTCTCCCTCCGGTCCTCTCTTCCCTCTCGACTCTCCCATTCCTTCCCTCTCCCTCTGCCTCACATCACTATTCCCCATGTCGGCAGCACACACACGCCAGAGACTCCTTCAGAGTCAGGACGCTCAGTGTTCCTAGGCAGTTTTAGTCTGTAAGGATCAGGAATTAGAGAACAGAATCCCAGGCAATTCAGACATGAAAGCAGACACGTGTCTCAGGAGGCCGCCTTCTCCCGGTTCATTTTGTTCGAGCGCAGTCTCTTTTCCCTGAGGTCTAAACAGTGTGTTTCATCTGAGTGTAAAACATCTCCTGTGCGTTCGGATGCCCCCAGGCTGTGTGAAGAAAATCCAGGGCAGGCTGCGAGTCTGTCGCAGTTTTCAGAGAAAATCACGGGGTGGCCGGCCGGCGCGGCGGAAAGGACAGCCTGCCATGGTAACGCTGCAAATAACCCCCGCCACAAGCAGTGCCCGGGGCCCAGAATAGCCTTTGTTTCTCCTTATTTAGGGTAAATAGGAATGACATGTGGGCCGTAACAATAGTGTTGGCTGTAGGAGGAGTTGTCAAAGCAGAACTAAACTCTGTTGGTTACTACCCGCCTTAGCAGCCAGGACAGTGACGTCAGCAGCCAGCCCTGCTGTCAGCCCGGGCGCGTCACCTGGGGCACGACAGCAGGGACCGGGCCCTGATGTCACCGCAGGCTCCTCCAGGTGGCCAGAAGACGTCACTTTCTCACGCTCTCATTTTTGGGGGCAGCGGCAGAAAAGCAACAGAAGAGCCTCCCAGGAGAGTTTCCAGAAGCTTCACGTGGATAAAAGGAAACCAGAGAATTTCAGCAAAGGAAAGTGACCGTTTGTTAATATCCAGCCGGCGGGGAAATCCGGATGGTGTGATTCTTCCTGAGCGATTTCCATATTAAAAACGAAACTCCCCTTCCTGTGCCAGACTTTCCCTGACTTCTCAGAGTCACCGCGGGCTGAACGAAGAGGGAGTCGCCCTCGGGAAGAGGCGGCTTCAGAAAGAATTAGAAGCTGCGGCCACTTCAAGCCGCCCCTCCTTGTGCCACCTGGGCCTGCACTTCCTCGTCAGGCTGTCACGACAGGCTCGCCCTGAAGCCAGGGCCTCAGCGAGGAGCGTTGTAGGCCCACTGCACCTGTCTGTTTCTTAAAATTAGGGCTTTGTGGGGCAGCACGGTGGCTCAAGCCTGTAATCCCAGCACTTTGGGAGGCCGAGGTGGGCAGATCACCTGAGGTCCGGAGTTCAAGACCAGCCTGGTCAACATGGTGAAACCCTTTCTCTGCTAAAAATACAAAATCAGCTGGCGTGGTGGCACACGCCTGTGATCCCAGCTACTCGGGAGGCTGAGGCAGGAGAATC